GCAAACATCCACTTAAAGAATGAAAAAAAAGGACATCCATGAGTTGTGCTGTAAAAGCGCAAACAGAAAGAGTAACTGTGCGTTCACACCGCCGGGGGCGAGAGCGTCAAAAGATCGCTCTGGCCGCGCTACCCACAACGCTGACCACCGGCGGCGAGAGCGTCAAAATTCGCTCTGGCTGCCCTGTAGACGCTCCACGATCGGTCTTTATTTAAAGGGGCCGCAAACATACCAAACAAGCGTTCTGATCTTGTGCAGACTTACCACAAAAAGGGTATAACCTTATGATATATCTTAAATGTGAAAGTAAAAAAAATATTAATGGAAAGAACTTAACAATATACTTACATGTTTGCTAACGAAATAAACCAATTAAAAGCTATTTGTGTGGCGTGGCTTTTGTGTTCTCATTTCAATATTTTAAATGTATTTAAAAATGTATGTAAAATTTTTTTTGAATATATATTTATTGTATTTAATTAACAATAATTTGTACCATTAATTTGTGTGCAGCCTACATTGAAAACAGTCCTGGTTAAAGTGTAGCCTTAACCCTTTCATGCATGAATGATTAAATCACAAAGTAAGATTTTTTTATATTTATTTTTTAAACCAGCGAAAAATCATGCAAATAACTTTTTTCAATATATTTTATTTTGAGGGAGTTACATATCTGTCTACTGTAGTGGACACCGTGAATAAAAGGTTTAATGTAATTGGTCATGGTTTTACTACAGTACCTGCGTTTGTTTTTGTGGTAACCTCAGTAAAACCATGGTTAATTTACATAAGGGTTTGATCAATACAACACATATTTTTCGTTTAACCCAATAGGTTTCATCATGTCAGAAATATTTTGCAACATCCTCTGGCGCGAAAGTTAGCACGCAATTCCCGCTTATTTTCAGAAAATATATAACGTAAATGCGCATTCGCAACTCACCAGAAACACCAACAACCTCAGACACCTTGGTCCAAGCAACATTTTTTATTTTCACGTCTCTGTACACAGACAGAGACACATCATAAATGACTGGGAAACCCGCCACAGCAATAATTAATCTCTCTTCCATTTTGATTAGGAACTAATGTGTGGTCGGAACCAAAGTTTACAGGACTGCGTTCTCTGGGACCCTCTCAAGCGGAGGAATTCTACATTCCGATTGGTTGCCGCCCAACAGCGTCATAGTTCATTACCATAAAGTTGAACTGATTTCAACTCTCCTTGACGCCCTCGCCGGCCAAGACGCGCCGCGCCGCTCCTCGCCGCTTTTCGCCGCCTTTCGCCGCCCGCTCACATTGAAAATGAATGTCTTCCGGTCACTTTGACGCTCTCGGTGTGAACGGTGTGAACGCACAAGGCAGAGCAAATAAACCATGCCTGATAACAACAACAGCACAATGAAAAATCTCTCTAGACCAACAGAAACCCTGTTTTTAAGTCTTTCCCCAGCAGGCTCATTTTCTCCAGAATAGTCCTAAAACAAGAGAAAATGGATACACTTATGAAAAATATAAAGACATGTTTGCAATCTTAACATTAGAAATTATGACACAGCAGGACATGCATACAAAATACTGAAGAGCTAAAGTTTGGTTAAAAGATTTGTAGACATGACAGCACTACAAAAACACAACAAAAAGAAAGACTATTGCATTATATAGTGGCTGTCTTATTGTTTGTGGGCTTTGTTTACAAAAAAACAAACAAAAAACTGGCTTTTAACACGTTTCGCAAGGCAGCCTATTTGAGTAAATTAAAACACAATACTTACATTTCAATGTGAATTCCCCCACAGAACTGTCATCCTCCATGTTCTTTGAATATAAATTCCATCGTCATCTGCGCACAAGTGATTCTGGTATATGGTAGGGTGCGGAAGTGTCCATCAGATGTACACTTCATTTTCCTGGGAAATGGAGGGTCCATTTGACATCGCTTTCGAATTACGTCAGCCTTCGTCGCGCTACGGTGACGCAATCGGCCTTGGAATGCAGTCTTTGGAGGGTGCATCCTGAATTGGGACAGCTTAGGTCGTGACACTGTGACGCAATCGCACTTCAAATGCACTCCATGCACTTCAGTTTGGCACACAGCTATAGTGTAGGAAATCAACACTTTAATTGACACAACAATAAAATCAGCTGTGGGGCGGAGTTTGCACTGAAGTGGATTGAGGGAAAAAATTGTGCATGCGTGTCATGTGCCTGTCTGTCAATGGGAGGAAGCCACGCCCTATTTTGGAGCTCCCACCCCGTTTTGGAGTTCCCGCCCCCATTTGAAGATCTCCATGCTGCAGTTATATCCTTCTCAATTTGCCGGCTGCAACTCTGCAACTAGGCAAGGCAAGGCAAGTTTATTTATATAGAACATCTTGTACACAATGGTAATTCAAAGTGCTTTACATAAAAGAAAGTAAAGTGACATGGACATGTGGCCAAGTATGGTGACCCATATAGTCACCACCCAGTTGGGGGTTGGGTGCCTTGCTCAAGGGCACCTCAGTCGTGGTATTGAAGGTGTAAGAGAGCGCTGTACATTCACTCCCCCCACCTACAATTCCTGCCAGTATGAGACTCGAACCCGCAACCTTTGGGTTACGAGTCCGACTCTCTAACCATTAGGCCACGACTTCCCTAAGATAATCATAAAAAAATAATAATCACAAAAATAAAACAAGGAATTTAAAAACATTGAAGATTAAAAATAGATTTAAAATTAATTTAAGACAGTTAAAAATAGAAAATGATTATACATACATAAAATACACTGTAGTTACATCGTGTACTAAGACCGACGGAAAATGAAAAGTTGCGATTTTCTAGACTGATATGGCTAGGAACTATACTCTCATTCCGGTGTAATAATCAAGGAACTTTGCTGCCGTACCATGGGTGCAGCAGGCGCAATGATATTACGTTAATGATGTAACTACAGAAGAGTCAAGTTTCAAATAGGAAAAATATTGAAACTCTTTGGTCATTTTTGAGCTAGATGCTAACGGTCTAATCAGATTCAATGATCTATGCTAAGCTGCAGCTAAAAGTGCTACCGCCAGACCCGGAGATCGGCTGAATGGATTCGAAAACGGTAAAACTCAACTATTTAATTCTAGGGGAGTTGGAAAATGAGCCTATTTTCAGCCTATTATCTCATGATAGCCGCATCCAGGTTGTGTACTTCTGAATAGCATACTACTCTTACTATTTCTACAATACTACTATTTCTATAGACTACTATACTACTTTATACTACTACTATACTACTTAATATGAAGTATGTTAGTTTTTGATTCGAAATACATCCTGTATTCCATCAAAATCCATTATAACGTTGAGAGACAGCAGAGGGCGCCGTTGAGTATTCTTTTTTTGTGTGCAGTAGCCTAGGCTACAATTTTTTATAAAAACGTGGCAGTAGATGTGATGATGTGTTTCCAGTTCACTATACTTGCAAAAATCACTACACATGCAGTATTTAATATTACTTATAAATTAACCTTCACATGCATAGGATACCTTTGAATTCACATAGAATTTTACAAGTGTGTTCACCCTAAACACACCCTGAACCTCACCCTTTACTTGCTAGAAATGTAAAGAATGCTTTGTCCACAGTAAATTCTCTGGACTGAGTGCGACGTTGACTGTATTTTGTGTTCATATTCCATGTTTGGTTTGAGTTTAAATAAAATTAGTATACTATATAGTGGGAGGCTGGGGCTGGTCGTAACCCAAGAGGCAAAAGACACATTTTCTTTATATATATATATATATATGATTTTATGTAGGCTACTTTCCATTTTCACAACCGGGGTATGTTGTCACAAAAGAAAGATGACTTTCAAAAATATGAAATATTCACTGGAGTAAAAAGTGTGAGAACTACCTCTAAAACGTTTAACTATTAATATACCCTAAGCCTGAATAAAGTTGACTTGCTTTCCTCAGTCAGGCCAGTGCCGTGTGTTTCCTGGAGACAGAGATCCACACACACACACATACACACACTCAAGTGAACGCCTCTCCTATGGCTGCTGCGGCCACTCCTCCTGGAACAACAGCACTCTGTTCTCCAACGCCGTTAAATGACACAATAACGACTGAAAAGTGATGTACAACGACTTTAAAGGACTCCAGCTGATCTGCAGCTTCACGCAGGAGGCGTCTGGTCTGTCCGCTGCGGCGTCCACAATCCGAAGCGCTGGGACTCGAGAAATCTGCAGGAATAAAACGCGCCTCCTTCAAGCAGTTATGTAGCCTATTGATACACGCACGCGAATCGCCTAACTTCATATATGGATTATTCGAGTCCTCAGACCCTTTGATTGGATGTTTTTATTTATTTATCTTTAAACAGTGATCTTACCTTTTATTTTTGGAATAAAAGCTAAAATCATCGCTGCAACTTAAAAGCCATTATGTTTTGTACGTAAGATCTCCAGGACACACGATCCTTGCGCACTTTTGACTAAAAGCGTGAGTGATGTTTCCAGCTGCTTTCACACATTACTGACCCGTGCAGTATTTAGGCATTTAGCGGTATAAAGGCACTGAGTTGTTGCATAAAGCAACTAAAGTCTTTGTCCCGGGGCCCTTGGAGAGATGGAGGGACAAGATGGCAAAGGGAATAATGACAGTAATCAAAAGGCAGACAAAAGGTTTGCGCTCTGGTACATGGGCTGGTCGTCTCTGGACAAGCGGACCACGCTGCCCATGCTGCCCTGGCTGGTGGGGGAGATCCGGAGGAAAAGTGAAAAGAACGAGTCCGGTCCCGCACAGGCCAGAGAAGTTCAGATGTATCTCTCGCCTCCTCTGATCCGCTGCGTGCCAGCAAACAGCAGCAACCCGTCCGTGTTCATATTCGAGCACAAAGCACAGTTTATCTCCAGGTTTATCCACAATAGCCATGACTTGTCTTATTTTGCCTACCTTATCAGAAGTCAACCCGATAACCCAGAGTCTGAGATGGCATGCCATGTGTTCAAAGCATGTGATCCAAACCAGGTATGTACGGTCACTCATTCAAATGTTTTATCCGTTAAATATATTGATCAAAAACACAGTGGTTATAGTTTATAAATAAATATGTTCTGAGATTTGGTTATCGGTATCGGTTCTACAGATAAATGACATTAGGCTATATGACGTTACGTCAGGACGTTACGTTATCTCAGGGTTGCCGTGGACTTGGCAACATTGATCTATCTATACCCTGCACCATGACCAAGTAGCAAATTACTATCATTAGTGTTTTGTACAATTATTTTTAGAGGGTCACATGGTACATTGACAAAAATAGAAGTATGATACATGACTTGGATATATATATATAGATGTATGTGTGTGTGTGTGTGCACATAACACATATTAGAAAAAAGTAATCTTCATTCCTTTGAACCCCCCATTTTTGTAATGCAATTTTATAATAATTTTATAACAATTTATAAAAATGAACTTTCACAATGCCTGTGCCAATGCACCCTGACCTTTAGTCTGCTGTATGATTGACAAGTCTTTGTCAGTTGGATAAATGCCAGTATGTTGGTGCACCATTGCACCAGAGGAATTAGATTTACAGAGCATCATGTAAAGATGGGTCAGATCTCTCCTGGCACATGCAGAGGAAGGATTAATCAGATAAGCTAGACAATACACACTTAGAATATTGAAATCCCCCTCCCGCTCCTCTGCTTGCTAGCTGTCATACTGCCTTGAAACAGTAATAACAACCTTGATGCACTGCACTTACATCTGAGTTCTCGGTTTCATGGTATTGATTAGAGATTAGTTGTAATGTGACCCTAATGTTAGTCTGCTGCTGAGCTATATTTGAGACGCCTGTTCAATGCACTTTGTTGGTCTGAGTGAAACATGGATTTAAACATACACGTGTGTATATGCAATGATTTGCTATGCATTTTATTACACGTTTACAAGCATATATTTTTGTTGCTCTGTGAATTTTAGTTGAAAAGTAATCCCTTTCTTTGCACTTGCTACATTATTTATGCTATTTGTACTATTGTTGTACAATCTCAGAGGTAAAAGTTCTTAGAAGTGAATGTGAGGAAGGGAAAGTTTCGGGCGTCCTGTGAGTGCACGTTGAGCTCCAGAGGCAACATACATCACCGTCATGTGTTATGCAAGAAAAACTGGCTGGATAGCAACACGTTCTAGATGGTCCATGAGGAATGTGTCTTAGCTCACGTCTTAAGATGGCTGCTGGCTCATTTTGAAGTGCTACCGTGCACTATATAGTCTGTCCAGTGTTCAGAGACTGACTCGGCTGGCATTTCGCCATATAAATATCTCCTACTCCTAATGCAGCCCGATCAATCCTTTCCAGATGCCTGCGGAGTGACATAGTTCAACTTTTAATGCTGTGGGGGAACCCACTGGTCCCTTATTTATAACTCCACCTTCAGCAGAATAGCCCACCCAGTGTAAGGGCAACAAAGTAAGGTTATGTTTCCTTTCATAATGATATACTATGTGCACACAGATGCCTGGCCTCATTTTACTGATAGAAATGAAAGGAAAGCATTATCTGTGATTATGCGGTAGTGTGTTGTTTATGCTGCGGGCAAGAAAAAATGGCCGGGGTCCCTCTGATGCATTTTGTTCATTGTTTATTCATTTTAAGATGGGGCTATTTGTTTTGCTAAAACTATTTGTTTTGTGGTTTGGAGCGATCTTCAAAATATGAGCACAATCAATGTTGTACAGGATATAACCCACTTAGACCTCCAAGTCAGAGTTTCAGAATACAGTACAGTGTCCTATTTTATCCAGCTGCCCTGATTACCTTCCTGGTAAGCATAATTAGAATGACTCCTGGCATGCCAATCTACATCCATACATCCAGTACAGGACTTGACCGGTGATTTGAGTTTCCTTATGTCTTAGACTAGCGTGAATTGTGTTTGGTACCGTTTCAAACTAGGGGGTGCTGGGGGTTCACAAAAATCTGAGAGAAATAAAAAGATTTTGCGCAGTATATTTTTGCAGCCGTCAAGGTTAATTTGTGCTTTCTAAAGACTGGTCAAATCTCAGAAGATTACTTTATTCTTTATTTCTTTTGAAACCAGTTTTTAGCAGTGTGGTGGAAAAAAAAATGTGTATAAATGTGTTTTCACATGAAAATATGTAGCTGCTTTTATATTTTACGAAGGGGTTCCTTTGCATGGGGAGCTTCATATTTTGGGGTCCATGTCATCAGGAACTTTAAGAACCTCTGATTTACAGTAATTCAGGTGAGGTTGAATGAAGCTTGACCTTGGGCCCTGCAAGACTGAAAGTGCAGAATCACAACCATTGTAGTATTTCATAACTGAGCCTGCCTTCAAATCCTCATAAATGAATTGTGAACCTGCTTAAAACAAGAGCACATCTTTCTGTGCTGTTTTCTCAGTTTTCAATCTTATTTTTATGTTGCTTGACTGGTAAGTTTCTAAGAAGCCTCCAGTGCTTTTTGCATTTTATATCATAGTTTTTAACCTCATGCTTTGAGGACACTGCATGCTTTGAGGGTTAACTTCGTGACATACAACAACTCAAAAAAAATAAAGGTAAACATGTCATATATCTTTGGAAAGCTGAGATTCTTGTGATTCGAATGATGCAAACCCTTTTAACAATCAACACAGCAGGTACAATCAGTGTCTTTGTCAGACCACCAACAACCAAATAAACAATAACAAAACTGAAGGAACTCACCTATGAAACCTCCACTAATTCATAACATTCCAACAAAAAGGGTGTAGTTACACTGTAAAGGGTCCAGACTATCCAATTCAGTGAAATATTTAGTCCATAACACATTTATATGTTGATAAACATCCACAGAATGTAGTAGTATCATTTCAAATTAGCCGATGGAGCGATCAAATCTTCTTCTTCTTCTTATGATGTTTAATGGCAGTTGGCAAACCAGCTTTTGGTGCATATTCCGCCACCTACTGGGATGGAGTGTGAGGCGATGATATCAAGGGAAATACTAATTAAAAAAAACAAAAAAAAAAACATCTACCTATATTTTATTATATAAATTTGTTCTTTTCAGAAAATTAATAAGAGCTTTATAACCTTTATGAGAACTGATTAACACATTCTGTAATGTAGCGATCAAATCTTCGGCACATTCTGAAGTATAGCTTGTTTTCACATGTAAACATTACGGATTTATTGATGTCAAAATGGCCGCTGACCTCTGCCCTTTTGATTGACGCCTCATTTGAACCAATAGCTGCATCTAAGAGGTGTCAACAGGCAGCGATAGCCAAAGAGCTCTCAGGATGAAGGATGGACAGTAGATCGATCCAATTGCATCAGAGTTTGCAAATGACTGTCGTTTCTAATAGCCAATGAACTTCCGAAAAGATTAAAATGCGGCTTTAGTGGGACAGTTCAACATGTCAAGCGCAGAAGTCCGTGCGTATAGGATTATAGTGACTTGTGCGTCCATGCGTATAGAGCGCTTTGAGAGAGTTTACGGGTGAAATATGTTTAGAGGTGATAAATGGCAAAGAGAACGAGAAAAACAAACCTTTTGCTCTAATAAGTTGTTGAACAATGTGCTCGGCCTGACAATAATGACATTTTTGACGAATTGAGCGACGTTTCATCCATTGACTTGATTTGAGGTGTTCTTGCTAACTTCTGTCATGTGTGTTTGTGTGTGTGTGTGTTTTATATGTGTTTGTGTTTTGAGCTGTTCTTGCTAACTTCTGTTGTGTGTATTGCTTTTTTTTATATCACAGACAATCATCTGACATTGAATTGAATGAAGTCTGGGAGCCAGTCAGCAAAGAGCCATATACTGAGGGACATGATGACAGCGC